GCTGGGTAGGATTCTTGTCACACTAAGCTTGACTAACACACCCGGAGAACAGCTCAAGACACATACAAGCTACCCACCTCGCAAGAGCCAGGCTGCAGCTGCCCTGCCCGGCCCTGCCTCCTTCGTGCAGGAGCTAGTCAGCTGTGAAAATCAGTAAGGGCACTGACAAAATGGACAGTGTCCTGGAAGGGCAGCACCGCCTCGACTCATCAAACTGCAAGGTGTAAAACCTGACTAACAACAACAGAGAATAAAAGAGGCAGGGAGGGGGGAGGCAGGAAGAGAGGCAGAGACAAAAATTAACAAGGCTTTTCCTATGATGTCCATCCTTCCTCAGGAACTGTCCCAGCTTACTGGGAAGAAGCAGTAATACAGAGGGACTCAAAGGGGAACAAGGCAATGAGATCTCACCCAACCAAGCTCCACACCAACCTGCAGGCTGCAGGATGCCCGAGGCAGGGCTGCACCCAGCTGCCCCGGCAGGCAGCAGGGTGGTCAAGCCCTACCCTCTTCCCCTCTGGCTCAGGGACCCTGGGCAAGCCACATGGCTTGTCCCTTTCCCGAGCACTTGGTCCTCTTGACTCTGAAAGACAGAGCTGGAGCTAGCTGCCGAGATGATCTGGCACACTGCATAGAAAGTGTGGGTGTGAGAAAGTCTTAACGCTGTGCGGTGTCTGCGGAACAGCACCCTTGGCCTCTCTGCCACTCTTCTGACCCGTGCAATGACCTTCAGTCCTAAGCACGGCTCCATGCCATGACAGCCAATGCCAACAGCAGCCACTGGCCACGTGTCCTCCAAGCTCTAGAACTGTGAGTTAACACACTGCGGAGCAGAGGTGAGCTGACTGAAGGCCACAGGGAGGAAGCCCCGAGGCCCGAGGGTCACACATCTGCTCTCCGAAATGTATGAGTCACGTTGAACGTAAACATGGGGTTTCTGGTAGCCATTAAAAGGCACAGAGCATAATGAATGATACATACACATTTTTATGCACTGAAACCATAGAAATTTAATACTGTAACATAATATAATTCGCTCAAATATTGGTACTGGTTCCACACAGAGGGATTCGGTGTCAGGAAGTCGATCCTGTTTAAGGTAGCAGAGTTCTAACACGATTATAAATGTCATCAGTATTCATGCTTGTACTACAGAGGACACAGTGACCCCTTGGACAACGACCACGTGGTGTATTACGGAACCGCACACACACACACACACACACACACACACACACTCCATCCCCAAACATTGTTGGAAAACCAATTACCCCTTTAAATAAATTGTAAAAGACCCAGTAATTAAATGCATGTGACCATTGAAAAGTATCACAATTTTCGGGAAAGGCACAAAGCCAGACATGTTATAAAGCTTGAATGCGGGCATAAGTGCCACACACAACGTAGCAAAAGCGGGCAGCTCCCATGTTACAGCTGCTCTCTGCAAATTCAGTAGTTTCCTGAAATTCAGTACAGAAATCAGAAGAGCTAACCCATTATTCTGCCATCTGCAAACACACCACTAACAGTTTAGCCTACATCAATCACAGTGTCGCAATGGAATGACTTGAATGAAATGAGACCAGCAAGCACAAGGTTGGCACTGCTCACACGCAACGAACGACAATCGTCCTCTACCAAGTGATTTCCTCGCCGACCTCAAGCAGGCAGCACAGTCACCCAAGACCAGTAAGGCGATGACAGCTTCAGGCAGGTGCACAAACCCAGCACGCGACGGGATGTCCCCCACTGGGGACCCCCTTGCCTGTCGCAGGTCCACAAGGCGCCTTGCCCAGCTGCGCAGCTGCACGCGGGAGCTGCTCACCTGGGCGAGAACTGGCCCGGGGCTCAGGCTGCCCAGTCTGGGGGTGCTCACGGTCTCCTTCACCACGGAGTGTTCTTCCCACTCCACTTGGCGATGCAGATAAGAGTAAAGCTACACTGTCCCTTACGCGCCCAAGGTGACACGGGAACACTTGATTCTCTGCTGCCCGTGCGGCCCCACCCCCAAGCCAAGAAAACAAAACAAAAAAAGCTCTGCACTTGCCAAATCTGATATCACAAGTTAACCAGCTCTTGGAACTGGGCTTCTAAAGAAAACGCATTAGTGGGAATTTCAACAGAAAACCCATTATGCCCAGGCTGCTGCGAAAACTGCTCCGAGTTCTGCGCTTCAGAAACAAAGCCTCATTTTAATATCAACAGTTCCAAAGAAAATGAAATTTCTTTTGTTCTTTATTTTTTTTGGAGGGGGGCAGTGAAAAAATTAACCGTGTCCTCTACTCTGTTTTGCCAACGGAAGGCAACCCTGGACGCCACAGGGAGTATGTCACCCTCATCCAGGCGGCTCCAAACAACTCATCCAGCACAGCCCAGGGCAGGCGGCTGCCGCACAGAACTTCACAGAGCTGGTGGGAAAACTCGGGCCAGGCAGAGGCCAGCATGGATCACACCAGCCTGATGCTTTAATTGCACTTGCCAAGAACACTCTGAAGGGTGCCTGTTGTATTCTCATCTTGTTGATGTCTCTTCACACTCACTCCATTAAGGGATGCCAACCCACAGTTCCAGGACAGGTTCAGCAAGCGCCCACCTCCTTGCAATGGGCCAGGACACAGGCGCAGATCTGACGTGGGAGAGGAGAGTGGACCTGAGCCTGCGGCTGGCGGGCAGGGCCAGCCATGGTCCACCCTCAGGCTGCTGTGGGCTGTGCCTGCAGCGCCTTGCACACACATCTCCCTCCCCAGGACCCTTCCGGGTTTTGGCCCTGGACTGACAGGAGAGCTTGAGACATGCTTGGCGCCTGGGAGAGGGGAAAGTGGGTTATAATCACCCCCATTTTGCAGACAGGGAAAGCGAGAAGGTGGGATCGGGTGGCCGGCCGGGAGTCACACAATGAGTCATTAAGATCAGCAACCAGAAACTGCTTCCTGATTCCTGGTTTAGTGTTCCACGCACCATGCTTCCTTCTACGAAGCACCATTTCTGTAAAGGTTTCTCTTTAATAAAGGAAACAGGGGAGGTCACGTGACTTTCATTCATTAGCACCCGTGTGTGTGTGTGTGTGTTTTCATTAGCACCTGGCTATGTGTGGAGGAGAGGCTCTTACACAGGAGCCAGCCAACCACTTCGAAACACCAAGTTCTTTAGAGACTTGGGAAGACAATACTTCAAAAACAGGAACCGCAATTTCATTGTTTCTTCCATTTCTCCCCTGGCATGGGCTCGGCGGCCCTTCCCGCCACACAGCCCCGGCGACTCTCCCCAACCCTTGCACGCACACAGAAAGCGTGCTGGCTGGGGAGCGGCCAGCACACACGCTTCCAGAGCCTGCACCAGTCTGTAGTCCTAGCAGAAGTAAACAGACAAACCTCCCACGAGCCTGCCCTCCGCCCCAGGCTGCTGGAGATCCGGGGGCCACTGGATGAGGCTCCCTAACTTCTCTGGTAGCCCCAAGTGACTCATGCCACAGCACCCTAAGAAGGAAGACTGCCAGAGCCTGCACTCCCCAGTGCCTCAGCCCCGTGGGCGCAGTTCTGGCTGCATGGTTGAGCAAGTGGGTGGGAGGGTTGCCTCCAAGGGCCTGAATGTCCCCTTGCAGCCAGAGCAGTGTCCCTACCTGGCTGGCTGGGCAGGCACTCCCATCACCATGACCCCTGTGCCCCTCGGGAAGCTGTGGTGTTGCCACAGTGGGCCATGGATTATCTTCAAGAGGGCGTGTTCACCCTGATACCCACAGTGACCAGCACCTGTTCCTCATCACTGCCTCACCACTGGGGACCAGGGAGGCTGTAGCTGGGATTCCCTGCTCAATTTAGTTAATCCTACAGGCAGGAATTTTCTATGGCTAAATCGATCTCTTGAATAAAGTTCTCTCTTGGCAGTTCAAACTTTCCCAGTTGCCTGAAAAGGGCGTTAGCTTCAATAAACGCCTGACTCTGAGCTTCTGTTTTGTCAGAGAAGCCTCAGCTCCTTCAGGCCTGAGAACACAGCCCTGACTCCTGCAGCTCCCTGGCTCCTGCGCCAGGCTGTCTGCCCAGCCCACCAAGAGCTGGCTGGCTGGTCTGAACTACCAGCATCAGTTTTGGCTGATGTAGGTTACAGCAGGTGCTCAGTCACCTACCTAATCACACCCATGCCAGTGCGGGTGCCAGTGCGGGTGCCAGTGCGGGTCCCTGGGGCAACTCCCAGGAGAGCTCCAGGCTCCTCAGCCATCCCACCCCTTCCTCCAGCTTCTCCTCTGTGACACGGCGACGGGTACAAACCCGCGAGCGACAGCTCCAGGCATGGTGCAGGAGCACAAACCGGCTCTCCAAGCCACCTCCATCTCCTGCTCACTGTGCTGTCCTCAGCAGGCTGTCAACTGCCACCTCCCAGGATCACCTGGGCTACTCACGAGGCATGCAGTGCTTCTCAACCCGCCAAGCAGATAGCCACGAAACAACACGCTCTGATGGCCACTCAGCCTCTCCCACACCCACACCTTGCGGGCTGAGCAGCCAAGAGGCTGTGCACCTCGCGCACACCTAGTCCAACGGTCCTTCAAAGACCTGGGGCTTGTCTTGTCAGCGTCTTCTCCAAGGCGCCCCCAGGATTCTACATCCCGGCCATGCCTACAGCCACCTGCAGATTCTGGGCCAGGCGCGATTCCTGGTCTCTCCCCATCTCCTCTCCCGTGCTTACGGTGAGCTCTGAGGCTCAGTAAGAGGCAAGGGGACCCCGCAGAAGAGCAAGGGGCACAACACGGAGCACCAGGCCCGCCTGGGGTCACTGTCCCTCACCGATGGCAGCGCAGCTTGATGGGCACCGGCACGTGCAACTCCGAGGCTCCGGGGCTGCTCCTGGCAAACTCCTAGGGGGAAGAGGACGCCCAATGGGAGTCGTGATACCACACCTGCGGCCGTTTGGGTTTAAGGGCTGCGGCGCACAGAAGGGTGCGACCTGTGGTCACTCGCCCTTGGCCACCTCCCTGTCCCTCCGCTGCGCCAAGGGGACCTCACCTTTCACCGCGGTGGCCTCCTTCAAGCGGTGCGACAGGAAATCGATGCTAGCATAGGCGTTGGCTGAGGGCAGAGGGCCCGTGCCGCTGCCTCCCACGGCACCGATGAGGCCTCCGAGGCTGCGGGTCCTGCCCCAGGAGCTCCTGTCGGCCGCGGACGGCGCGTGTTGGTGCTGCGCAGACAGCCCAGACTCGTCGCGCACGTCGATGGCGATGTAGTTGAGGCCATTCTGGAAGCCAGCGGATGTCTCTCTGCGCATGGGGGCACCGCCAACGCCGGGTAGGCCGGGGGTCCAGACCCGTGCCTGCGCGGGAAGCGGGGGCACTGCTAGAGCTGGCTGTGCCTGGCGCGGGGACGCGGGGGGCTCCTCGCCCGCCGCCCCGATGGGCCCGCCGCCCTCGCTGCTTTTCCTGAGAGACACATTTTCCACCGAGGCCGAGTTGTGGCGCTTCGGGTTGTGCGCGAAGGACGGGGACACCGGGGTAACGGTGGTGGTGGACGAGAAGGTCTCCGAGCTGTGGCGACGCCGGCCTCCCTGAGGGTCTGCGCGAATGACCTTGGCGCCACGGTGTGGATCCGGGGGCTGGCCGGCCTGCAGGAAGGCCTCGACCCCGGACACCTGCTCCATGAGACTCAGCCTCTTGAGCCCTGCCGTGGGGCTGGCCACTCGCGCGCCTTCCGGCTTCGGGGGCGCCGCGATGGGCTGGGGCGAGGTGGCGGCCATGCCGAAGGCCATCTCGGTGTAGTCCCCGCCGTCAGCAGCCTCCGAGACGGCAGCGGTGCTGGGACCCGGGGCCCGGGCCGCAGCCTGCGCAGGGGGCAGGCAGTGCAGTTCCCCGGGTGATTGTGGCGGTCGGGCTGCGGGTGAGGGCACAGATGGGGGCTGCTGCAAGGAGCAGGAAGGCGAGGTGGAGGGGCGCGGGGGCAGCGGTGGGTACGTTCCAGTGGCCTCGGGCGACACCAAGCCGTCCAAGGAGCCCACGGTGTCGCCGCTGCCCTGCGTGCCCGGCCTGGGTGACCTAGGGGAGCAAAAGTCGAGGTTCATGTAGTCCGAGAGCGGCGAGCGCTGGCGGCTGTCACTGCTGGTGCCCGGTGTGCCAGAGCCCAGTGATGAGGCCGGGCTACCAGCCGACAAGAGCGAGCAGGATGAGGCAGCTGCCGCCAGCAGCGGGGGTGCAGGCGGCGACAGGTGCGTGCCCACCTCCCCAAAGTCGATGTTGATGTACTCGCCGGGGCTCTTGGGCTCGGGCGGCGGCGGGGGGTATTCGTGCATGCTGGGCAGGGTCCGCAGCCCCTCCAGGGACAGGCGCGTGGGCCGCACTGCCCGGCAGCGCTGGCTCAGGTAGCCCTCGGGGCGGCTGCCGCCAGGGCGCAGAGGCGAAGGCACTACTGCGGGGTGAGGCTGGCTGTGGCTGCCCGCCTGCGGCTCCAGTCTGCTCTCCTCCGGGATGCGGCCCACCGGGGAGCTCATGAGCACATACTGATCGTTATTGTCGCCGCCAACACAGGTGTAAGGAGCCCGGTGGCACGCCCGGGGCACGGAGCTGTAGCAGAAGCCAGGCCCACCCTTGAGGGCATCGCTGCCTCCCGCAACGCCGGGGGAGGCGACGGAGGAGAAAAAGTCCGGCGGGGTGCCGGCGGTGCCCGCCTCGCCGCCCGGAGACATGTTGAGGTAGTCCCCGTTGGGCAGCGGCCGTCTGTCAGTGGGTTCCGTGGATAGCTTGGAGCCGCACCACATGCGCATGTACCCGCTGTCATCCGAGGAGCTGTCGGCTGGAGAGGTGGCCTTGTAGCCGCCAGTGGCGGTCCCAGCGAAGGCCCTGCCGTTGGGTGCGGCTGGGGGACCGGGCACGGGCACGACCGTCCCCGTGGGCGGGGGGAGGGCGGCAGGGGCGGGGGCGCGCGGCTGCAGGATCTGTTTGGGCGCAGACACGCTGGTAGGGCTCATGGGCATGTAGTCATCGCCTCCGCCACCGCGGCCAGCTCCCAGCAGGGCGGCGCCGGGCGTCATGGGCACGTAGCCGTCGTCCGCGCCAAGGTTGCTGCTGGAGCTGCGGTGCGAGCCGATCTCGATGTCCCCGTAGTCCTCCGGGTAGGGGTTGTAGGCCACACGGGGCGAGGCCGACGCGGGGCAGGACGGGCACAGGCGGCCCGAGCTGCCCGAGCACGTGGCCCGCATCAGAGTGTACTCGTCCAGCGAGGCCGACGAGGGCTGGGGCGCCGGGCGCTGGCGCGCGGGGGTGGTCAGCGAGTAGGTGCGTTTCCTCAGCCCGCGCTCCATGTCCTGGGCGCTGTCCCCGGAGACCCGGCGGTAGGCGCGGCCGCAGTGGCTCAGGGGCCGCTCCATGGTCACGTACCCGCACAGCTCGCCGCCGCCGCCGCCGTCCCTGGCCGGGGGCGTCTCGGCGATGGACTCGGGCGTGTTGCTCCGGTGCGTGCAGAAGGCTCTGAGGTCGCCGGGGCTGGAGCCGTACTCGTCCAGGGACATGAAGCCAGGGTCGCTGGGCGAGCCCGAGGCGGAGGCGCTGCCGCTGGAGGGCCGCTGGCCGGAGGCGTGCGGCAGCGGGTGCGGCAGGTGCGGGCCCGAAGGCAGCGGGTAGGAGCCCGAGCCGTGGCCGCTGCTGGACGACAGGCTGCCGGGGCTGGCGGCGGCGGCCGTGGCGGCCGGGGGCGAGTGCGCCACGGGCATGGACATGGAGCGGCTGTGCTGCAGGATGCCGCCTGCCGGCGACGGTGCCACCTTACAGGCGCGGCCGCTGCCACCCGCACTCAGGGTGTGCGAGCGGCTCAGGGTCGCGCGCACCGGCCCGGGGCTCAGGGGGCTGCCTGCTACCGACACGGGCCGGCCGCCCGCCGCGCCGGCCCCCGGCCCCGGCCCCGCCGCCCCCGCCGCCGCCCCCGCGCCGCCGTCGCCCTCGCTGGCCGTGCGCACCCGGCTGGCGCTGCCCTTGGCGGCGGGCGGGGTGGCGGCCAGGCTGTCGGTGCGCGAGCGGCGCACCAGGCCCGTCTGGCTCGGGGGCAGGTTAACCAGGTGGTGGTGGCGGCGCGCGCCCGGCACGCTGATGGGGTGCGTGGCCGAGGAGCCCGACGACTGGCTCTTGCTGCGCGGCCGGAACTCGAAGAGCTCCTTGAGCGCCTTCATGGCCTCCAGGATGGTCTCGTGGATGCTCTGCGCCACCACCGAGTCGTCGGCCTGCATCCACAGCTCGCCGGGGCCCGTGACGGCCGAGCGGCCCACCTCGATGAAGAAGTAGCTGTCCGAGTGGCCGCAGCGGCGGATGTTCATGAGCTGCAGCGTCACCGACGGCTGCTCGCAGTTGAGCTTCACGAAGCCGATGGTGCGCGCCGACAGGCACAGCCGGTACACGCCCGTCAGGTTCTTGGTCTGGCCCAGGCCCTTGGGCTTCAGGTTCACCTGCCACACCTCGCGGTAGGCGGCCGTGGCGGGCGCCAGCAGCCCGTAGCTGTCGTCGGCCGCGGCGCCGGCCGAGCCGCCGCGGGCGCCGGGCAGGGAGGCGCTGCAGGACGCAGCCCCGGCGGGGGCCGAGCCGGCCGGGGAGCCGTCGGCGGCGGCGGCTCGGCCCTCGCTCACGAGCTCGGTGAGCGCGCGGTACCAGCCCTCCTGCTCCTGCTCGTTCTCGGCCGCCACGGCGAAGTACTCGTCCTTGGTGTAGAGGGCGATGAGGTACTTGTGCTTGGCGTCGGCGCGCTTGTTGATGTTGAGGCAGCAGTCGAGCGCGATCACCCGCTTCGGGGCGCCCGCCTTGCTCCGCCACTTCTTCTCGCTCTCGTAGTACTCGAGCCGCGGCGGCTGCGGCGGGCCCCCCGCTCCGCCCGCCTCGTCGCCGGCCGCGCCGGGCCCGCGCAGCACGAAGAAGCGCTTGTGGCCGTGCCTCTGCTTGCGCAGGTAGCCGCACTTGCGCACGCTGTGGTTGTCGTTGTTGTTGTTGTTGTTGAGGTTGGGGCCGCCCGCCGGCTCCGGGGGCCCCTGCGGCGGCGGGCTCGCCATCGCCCGGCGCTTCGGGCCGCGCCTCCGGTGCTGCTGCTGCTGCTGCGGCGCGCCGGCCGGAGGGGCGCGGGCGGGGGCGGCTCCCTGCCCCCCGCTCGCTCGCTCGCTCGGCGCCCGGCCGGCCGAGCACGCCGAGCCTCGGGCCCAGCGGCGGGGGAGGCTCCGGGGAGGCCCGGGCCCGCTCGAGGATGCCCGGCGCGGGCGGCGGCGGCCCCCCGGCGCGCTGGCTCGCTCGCTCCTCGGGCGGCGCCTGCGGGCGGGACGCGATCGGCGGAGGGCCCGAGGGTCGGGGTCCCCCGGAGGCGCGCGGGGCCGAGCCTAGGGCGCGCGCGGCCTCACCGGGGCCGGGGCCGCCGCCACCGCCGAGGGGCCACGCCGCGGGAAGCCGGGGTGCGCCCGGGCGCTCGGGGTCCGCGCCGCCGCCGGAGCTGGAGGAGCCGCCGCTGCTGCCAACGGCGACCCGGGCTCGTCGCGGTCCCCGCCGCGCAGTGAGTAACACATCGCGCACCGAGTGACTGAACTAAGAAGAGCAAAACAACATGTGACTCGGCGTTACGCAGGCACACACGGCGCGGCCCGGCCCGCCCCGCCGCGCGCCATTGGCGCCGCGCCCCGCGACCGACGGCCCGCCCGACCAACGGGCACCGGGCGCCGCGCGCAGGGGCGGGCCGCGCGCGCCGCCCCGCCCCCCTTTCTCCCGGGGCCGCGTTTCCCGCCGTCTCCCCTCCCCCTCCCTCCGCGGCGCGGGGCGGGGGCGACCCGAGCCCCATTAATCAGCGGCTGCCGGAGGCTGCGGGAGCAGCTGCTGCCCGCGGCGGGCGAGGGGGCGCGGAGCCGCTGGGCCCCGCCCGCCCGCCCCCGACGCCCCTCGCGGGGCTGGCGCTTCCGCCGGGCGGGGGTGCGGGGCCCGCCGCGCGCTGCTGGGGGGACCCCGGCTCGCGGGCGGGCGGGGAGCGCGCGGCGGCGGCGAGCGTGCGTGCGCCCGGCGCGGGCTGCGCTTGTTTACGAGCCCGGGATCGGGGCAGCGCCGGGCCCTGGGCGGCCGGGGGCGCCGGGCGGGGGGCCCAGGAACCCCCCGCCTCGGGTCCCCTCCTGCCCCCCGCGGGCTCTGGCCGGGGCGCCCTTCCCCGCGCCCGCGGGTCCGGAGGGGAAATCGGGCCTTCGGGGACGTGAGCGGAGAAGCCGGGGACGCGCGGGCCCGGGCGGCCCCTCCTCGGCCCCCGCGGCGCCCCCGCACCCGCACCCTCCCGGGCGGTGGGCGTGCCCGCACCTGTGCGCGCGGCCGGCGGAGGCCGCCGTTTGCGGGCCGTGTCCCCGCGCGGCTTTGTGACTTCCTGGGCAGGAGCGCGCGGCTGCGGCTGCCGGGGAGGGCGGGGGCCGGGACGCCGAGGACCCGGCGCGGGAGCGATCCTGGCCGGGGGTGTGTCTGGACGGGAATGATCTGCCGCGCTGGTTTACCTGCCTGTCGTGCTGGGTTTTGTTTTTGTTGTCGATATATGTTTTTTTTAAACAATAAATCAAGCCCTGGAAGTTTGCGTGTGGACAGCGCTGTGTTTTGAAGGAACTGCAGGTTGCGGTAGCGGGCGGGGCGGTGATGACCGGAGCCCGCGGTGCTGCAGCGTCTGTTTCTTGCACGTGTCCGGTTGGGGGCTGGGGGTGGCGGTGGGCGAGCCGCGTCTGTTTGGAGGAAGAGATCGGCGTGGCCAACCGCGCCGTGAAGGCCCCCGCCCCAGGACCCGCGCTTCCATTTTTTGTGTGTTTTTCAAGCGGCGCCGCCAGGCCCGCCGCCCGGGGCGTGTGCCCTGAGTGCGTGTGCGCGCGCGTCTGGAAGGCACCACCGTGGCGGACGCGCGCGGAGGTTCTCTCTCCCTTGGAGATCTGCTTGCCTTTTTTATGGTAACAAATGCTGCCTAGCAATCTGTCTATACTCAGGGGGACAAGATAAAGGGGTCTTTTTTTTTTTTAATCTTGGAGCTTGAAGAATATGTGGCTTGCTTTTATTATGACGGGCTTGTAGCGTGATGGAAATTTACATGTGCCTCCTCTGTGCGCGCCCACGCTGTTCTCCACAGGAGCCTGGGATGTTAGGGACCCCCTTTTTCGCGTAGTCTCATGAATCTTTCGGGATTGTTTCGTTCTTTTCTTCTGGATCCTTTGAGATTTTTAGATAATACTTTGGGGTTTCCATGGGTGATTAGATGTTTATTTCCATGCTGTCTACCCCGGGATGCTAACGGGGTCATTTTGGGTTATTTATTTATTGCCTTTGTTTATTTGGTTTCGGGCCATTCTAAAGTGAACACGTCAGGCATCGGTTTCCAAGGGATGCACGGATGGACCCCCAGACCAGAGCCATCTTCCGGGAGTGACAGGCACCGCTGTCCTAAGCTCTGTCCACGCCTGGATCCTCTGCACCCAAGCCTAGAGGTATAGCTTCTCAGAGCTGCCAGCTCTAGCGGGGAGCGGGGCCGGCACACCCACAGGAGACCCCACTGTCATCCCAAACCCACCGCCTCTCCTCAGCCCACGGTGAGAAAGCTTATTGATGTCAAGTGTGTGCTGTGCCTCGTGGCTTGCCAGCTGCTGTCCCCTGCTTTTCCAGCAGAAGTTGGCTGCCGCCTCACTGTGCGTGCTGAGGGTGGCCCATGGCCATCAGTGGACAGCCAGGATGGCTTTTCCCCCTTTACAGATAATAAAATGACCATGTCTTTCCACAAAGACTGTGTGTGTGTGTACAGATAAGCATACGCCATCACGATCCTCTTAGGAACACAGTAAGTTCTTTCTGGAGTAATTTTCCTTACTTTCTTAAAGTGACGAATCTTATAAAAATGTAGAATGGAGTGGTAGGTGACAGATCCCGGACAGGCATGGTGCCACTGAGAGTCAGCCCCTTAGACTGAGTTCAGCAAGCGTGTATCAGTCACGGTGACTCAGGCTCGCAAGCCCGCTGAGCTCACTCCCAACCTTGCAGAAATCCGCACCGTTTTGTGGCCAGGTGAACTCCACCCAAAAACTGACTTAGCAGACTGTTATGCACGAGGCTGTTGCTTCCATGCAAAGTGTGTCTAAGGAGCCAGGTGTGCTAGCCCCGGTTGGTATCAGAGGTTGTAGCTAGCCCCGAGGAGCGGGCACCGCCGCCACCTCGTGCTCGCCACGGTGCTGTGGGTGGCTCACGTGCTCATTTCCGTTTCTTCGGCGAACACCAGGATTCTTTGTGGAATGCCTAGTGCTTCCCCAGCCAGGGTTTCTGCACAGATCTTCTTGGCTGATGTGCGTCAACTGAAATTTCACAGCAGTTCTGTAACTTGTCGACCTTGTATGTGCGATACAATGATTCACGTGGCCGAATGCGGCCGCTGTCTGCGTGCAATTCAAGCTCTCTGAAGAATTAAGATTTGACCGCCATCGCAGCACCTCCTTGGAAATTGTAAAGACTTTTTACTTTAGTGTTTATTCTGACCATTAAAGATGTTGATTAAATAGTCTCTTCTAAATGCCTATTTGTGCAAGCCTGCTTTTCTAAGATAAATGAATATTTAATATGCACATGTGGTAGAACAAACTGTTTAACCCCTTTTAAAATAAGAAACCCAAAAAGCACAAGAAGTCAAATCACAGTGTTTTGGGAAAACATTTATATAGAAGGTGCGGTTATGAAACGTATCCTAGGAAATGTGATTGTGTTGAAGAGACATAGTCAGTGCTCAATTACGAACTGCAGTCAGGGACGCGACACTAGCGCAGCCCTCACCAGGATTCATTCGTCTTTGAATCCTAAGAGTGTATTTCTAGATGTAAAAACAACACTTAAAATTTCCCCAGGACTTTGTACGCTTCGAATGCGCGTCACACCTGGCTGGGTATGCCGTGCAGTGAGCCTAGCTGTGGGAGACAGCAAGCTTTCCTAACTCATGTGCTGCCTGACTGGGGTTCATGCCCTGGGTGTTGCTCGCTCTCAGGGTAAAACGCAGCTTTTAATTTTATTTTCCCTGCCAGAGCAGAGCAAGACTGCTTTTCAATTGGTACATCACAAGCGGTTGGCATAAAAATGTCTCTCAAATGACACAGCTATATTTCCTGGGGCGGCGGGGGCTGCGCCAAGGGGATGGCTGAGAGGAGGAAAGATCAGGCTGTGTCGGCGCCTCGGCGTGCTGCTGACCCGAGGACGCCCCTGCCTGCTGCTGGGAGCTGCTGGGCGGCCATGGGCAGAGCTGCCCCAGCGCCCACTCCCAAGCGCTCAGTCCTCCACGCGCTGCGTCTGCGCTGGCCTCTGCAGACTGCTGGCTGCCTGGCGTTGTTTTGAAACTGAAGCTCAAGATAGCAGAGGAAATGGGACCCGCTCTTGTAAATGCTGCCACCAGCTGGTGGCTTCTTCCCAAGGCGGCTCACACTGCTTCCTTGAGGCTGCGAGACAGTTGTTTACTGCCTCATGGAAACTGGCTTTCGCTGAGCCCTGTAGAAGTTGCTGGAAAGGACTGGCGATACAGTACTGATAGGGGGCGATTAAGAGCAAAATCCTACGACAGGTGTGGAAGGACTAAGGCAGTCAATACACTTTTTGAAATTTACAATTTCTAATATATTGTATTCCTGTGCAGCTCTAAGGTAAAAAATGTATCGATGCCCATTCAGATTTCAGAAAGCCCTCTAGCTGACAAAGAAGCAGAAGTCAAGGGCACAAACGAGTTACAGTGCAGAGTTGCTTGTCAGGCCCAGCGTCCATGGCATCCCCCACCCCCCATGTCTAACTCAAGTCGACACTGCAGGTCTCCAAGTCTTCCCAGAATGACCAAAAGCATCTCAAAAGACAGAGAGGAACAACATTTGAATAGCAGAAACACTTCTAAAACAAAGCAAAACAAAGCAAAAAGCACTGCAACAAATGATGGGAAATGCCGAATGGACTGCTTGTGTTTGAGCAAACCCGTTTGAACTTGTATGTTCTTTCTGGCGGGTTCCCTCGAACCGTGCCAGCCACCTCTTCATTGGTTGGTCTC